TTGACGAGTATGTTTGAATAAGATACGCTTGAAACAATCTTTGTATTTCCGACTTTTGTTCTGAGTCATGAACATGCACTTAACCTGTTTTAATCAGGGACCAATTCTTTAAAATTCCATTCCATTGCAACATCACATACTCATACGGGATATAAGTGTCCTTTAGCTTTAATAACACTATTTCATTTTCTCGGTCAATAATATTTTCACCTTCTCCTATTTTCAGGGATTTCTTTTAACCGGGCTAGAAGGAAAAGGGTTTTGGGTGGGTATACCGATTGACCACACCAGTACAAGTCAACTCATGGACTACATGACATAGAGCCTCCAATTTGAAAACAGATCTACGGAGCCAATAAACCCTCCTCTTGGGATGTATAACGCAAAACATCGGCCATCTCATTAGATCGGAATGGTTTTAATTAGACGGAAACCGAATGGGAATAGATTTGTTTGTTTGTTTGTTTGTTTGTTTTTTTGTTTGTTTGTTTTATTTTAGCACGGTGGCATACTTCAGCCAATGGCTGTTCTTCAGCATGGCCATGCATATAAAAAACAATCACAATTGTACAAAGAAACATACATTATAGATTAACATGATTTATATACAAAGTTAAATAAAACATACACACATTATACAAATATGCTGAAGACGAGAAATTCAAACCTAATTTAGAGAATGCCGATACTAGCACAAGGTAGATATAACGTTATGTAATATTCAGTGGACCCTTTAATTATCAAAATCAATGTTTTGAACCCATCTCTAAGAGTGACAGTTTAATATAGAATGAGAGTTGGACTAGAAGTAAGTGGAAATTTTGAACAGCAATTGCAATTGACAATTACAATCAGTTCAACTTTTTAGAGACATTACAATGAGAATTGTAAACATTTCAGAACAGAATAACGAGGCAAAATTCCAATGAAGGAAACATTTTGTATAGATTGCAATAATAACAATTTTTGTTTTAAGGAGAATGCTTTAGATCGGATGACAAAGAGAGGGGGGTCAAGCCAAGGAAAGATGTATGAAAAGCATAAGAAGAGGATCGGAGTTTTTATTCTAACTGCTAATGATCTCACAGTTAGCTCAAAGAAGGTCATTTGATTTGATAGGTGAGACAGGGGGTTCCTATTCTTGCGTAACGAGGAAGCTTCGTAATTTCCCCCATTTCCGATTTATGTGTGCCCCTTGCTTGATAGATGTCAAGTATTCATGTCCAAAGCTATGACAAAGACACAGTTTTGCGTCCTTATGACATGAAACAATGAGCCACACAATTTTCTTCATTCTTAGGATAAATAACTTCCTAAAGTATCAAACTATAACAAAAGTGATGCGGTAATAATGAGGGGGAATTTGTATAAAAAATGGCTTCGTCAATTATTACTGCTTGTACTCCTGCTGCAAGTATTTGTATTGTTACTACTACTACTACTACTACTACTACTACTACTACTACTACTACTACTACTACTACTACTACTACTACTACTACTTCTACTACTACTACTACTAGTACTACTACTACTACTCCTACTACTACTACCAGGCGCGTACGCAGGATTTTTTCAAGGGGGGGTTTTAACATTTATAAATCGGGCCAAAAATTTCGCAACGACTCAGCCAGCCGCTGAATAAGCGGGGGGGGGGGGGGGGGGGGGGGGGGGGGGGGGGGGGGGGGGGGGGTAAGAGGACACTTTTTTTTTTTTGGTCTCGAAATTTGAAAATTTGACATTTTGCTCCGTTGAGGGGGGGGGGGGGTAAGGTCAGCTCTTTTAGGTCAACCATGGGACTATTTTTTTATATTTTTTTTTTTAATAAAAAAAATAAATAAAAAAATAAAATCCAAAAGGGGAAGGTTTTAGAGAAATTTAGGGGGGTTTACACACACAAAATTACCAAAGGGGGGGGTTTAACCCCCCAAACACCCCCCCCCCCTGTGTACGCGCCTGACTACTACTACTACTACTACTACCACTACTACTGCTGCTATTACACTTATGATGATAAAAAACCGACATTTATAGATAAAAGCAGTTGTGTGGCATGGGAGAGAGAGAGAGAGAGAGAGAGAGAGAGAGAGAGAGAGATAGAGAGAGAGAGAGATAGAGAGAGAGGGATAGAGAGAGAGGGATGAAGATAGAGAGAGTGAGAGAGAAAGAGAGAGATAGAGAGAGAGAGGGGGATAAAAAAATAGAGGGGAAGGAATTAGGGAATGGGTTAAAGATGAAGATTGGTAGAGTTAATTATCATGGTAAATGAAGCTTGTTTGTACAGAATATAGCCTATACGCACCTAACAGTAAGTATTACAAGAATCATTTTTTTTTCTTTTTTTCAAGTCATATCATGTAGCGCAAATGCAGTTGTTAATGAAGGGCGTAGGAGGGGGAAATACATGATGGATTAAGATAATTACTTTCCAACCAACCTGTGATTTTCAGAGATTTGTCACCCGGTAATCCTTGTTTCTCAACATGTGTGTACTGTATGACGCCTTCTAATCTTACAGCACTGAGCTCAGGAGCTCGTTATATGCACTCTATCATACTTGGGAAGGGGTAGAGGGTGAGGGGAGGGGCAATAACACCCTCCAACAATTATGAGCGATTTCATTCGGCCGTTAATACATTGTAATTTGTTTACGCCTGGCCCTGTGGGCACATTTTGCTTAGGGGGGGGGGCGTATACATTATTATTGTTTTTATCATTTATGATTATTATTTTTATATTATTATTATTATATTACCTGTTTTGTTTTGCTCGTGTGTATTTGTTGTGTTGTATATTCATGACGTCTTATATAAAACACCGTCGTGAATGTATTATGACAATTTATAGCATAGAAAACGATTAAACCATGCCCCCAGATAATAACTTTATGGATGTAATGTTATGTTCGATATGGTTTATATTTTAACACCTTAGTTCATCTATGGCATTCAAAAGGTGCTAGTAAACGTTCAATAATTTTCGAGGTTACGCCCATACCATAACTATGGTGTATATATACACCACAGAACTCTTAAATATTTTAGAGTTCTGTTATATACACGCACATAATTATGGTTGACATCTTGCAAAGTATGTAGGTAAACACTTTCACGTTGTTCAGGTCTTTATCATCATGCGTAATTAGTCATCGTATTCAACAGTCATGTAGAGATGGATGTCACATGATCGGCCGTTCATGTCACGTACCATCAAAAGGCACGACTAATAGTCTCGAGGTGTGGTTTGTAGGATTCACTTTCTAAGCGAACAGAGAGAGCTATATGAACTATTGGCCATGTCATTTCTTTCTATGCATGGAGTTCATTGACCTTTTCAAATCAGGACCAATAATTCAACTATCACCATAAGCAGGGGCGGCGATCCCAGGAGGCCCCCCCCCCCCCCCCTCCACGGAAAAAAATGAAAAAGTCAACAACAAAAATGAATTACCATCAAGTTGTGGTCCAAAACCCAATTCGTCCAATTTAATTTATTCTATAGCTAGGCCAAGGCCCAGTTTATCCATTATTGTCCAATCAACATTACGTGTAATTATCATTTTGTCTATAATGGGACTAATAACTATTTAGTATAATAGCCACTTCACCCAATCATTTTTTTGCCATTCGGTCCAATATCCGTTTGGTCCATTATCATTCACTTAGTCTAGTTGCAATTTTGTCCGGGAATTTGGTTCACTAGTGAAGTGGTCTAAACCCAAATAAGTCCAATAACCAAAAAAAGTTACTGTCCAATTCACGTAGGCCTATCAATTATCAGTTTCGTCCTCTTTCGTCTATACGCACCATTTCGTACACATTTCAGTTTGTCCAACTTCATTAAATCTATTTTCATTCCGTCTATTAAAAAGGAGTCTTATTACCATATGGTCTAATTCAACATAACTTGGACTAATTCTATTTGGTGTAATTGCCTTTCGGTCTAATTACTATTTGGTATATTACTGTTTGGTCTTAATGACCGTTTAGTTTAGGTTGATGCGTAGCCTATATCGTTTTTTTCCTGACACAGTAATTTATGAAGATGTAGGAAATATGCACAATTTGATGACAATTGGGATACAGTGTACCTGCATACAGTATAGACCTCTCCGTAGAGGCGACAGCATTTCCCGATTCACGTTGTGTCGTGCATTGGCATAGTCCCCAGCGTCAAGCAACGTTTTTTCAATTTGTTGTTCTTCAAACATGGAGGAACTATAGGTTCCTTCCTATTTACTTCCATAGCTTCCCTTTCGAATTCGTTATTTCTGACTCTAATAGTGGATCCATATAGGGGTAGATCAGTGATCCAGGGGGGAGCCCGGGGATCCGGGCCCCCTCCCCTGGCCCCCTCCCCTGGCCCCTCCCCGGGCCCCAAAATAGGTTTAATACACATAAGGGCAAACTGTTGTTTTTGTGGAAATCAAATCAATAACTTTGGTTGCTATAACTTTCTATTGAAAAGAGATGTTACATTATCCTTTACACAGGATATTGGCCTTGTACATGGACAAATTCTTAAAATGTAACGAACAAAATATGTACCCCTCCGATTTTGATATATAATAATGGTTTTCAAGTTGATAAAATTCAATATTTAAAAAGAAAATCATGTATTTTACTTAGGTTTGCAATGTTAATTACTCCTAAATTCATTTAAATTGGTATCAACATGTAGATAATTTAATTTTCTTTCATATGACACCAAACTAAAGGTAGTTCAAGGTTTCATATTAATATTATTTACAAAATACCCTTTCGTGAAAAGGGCCACTTTTTGGACGCCCCCTCCCATTTTAGGGTGTTCGCTACAACTTTTTTGAAAAACACCTCTGAAATATTGTGCATTATGATGAAAAATCTTTTTGAATGAACAAGGTGTGCTTAGTTTGTGTGGTAGTGGTAGGGGTGGTAGGCAACTCAAAAACTAAGTATTAGACTTTGGCCCTCCACTTATACAGTATTAGCATAATGCACTTCTGATTTGTTGCTCCAAGATACCATATAATGTGGATGGAGTCTGCTGTGGCTTGTTACGTCTTAAACGTCTTAAAATGGGACGTTTTCTCATCTATTTCCAGTATATTGGAACAAGATATAGGTAAAGTTGATGTAAATCACATTTTTTGCAAGTATGATATTATTTTTAAGGAGCGTTATAGGCCATCTCTTGGAGTAAGCTCCCACTCAATGCACGCAAACAGACACAAGTCTGTGGACTGCATTTTGTGCGTGAGCTGTGTGGCAACAAGTTAGTACGGTACTCTGCCTCGCCTCGAGCTCGGCACGCACCCGTCCGACTGTCTGCACTGCACAAATCAAGAGCAATCGGGCGGGCCCGTTTAACTCGAAACCAACGACAAAACATTCATAATTAGCTTCATCCGCCAACTTCGAGGATTTTACAACATGGAAATAAACGTGTAGATCTATAATCAGTTTAGTAAAGTGGAAAAATCCTTTGATATAAATATGGCTTTTTCAAATATAAAAAACAAGAACTCACTGTTTAACTTTTATTAAGTGAATGTATAAAAGGATCATACATGTTTAGACTTAGTTGGAGAATTTCTTGTCCTTTTCTGCCAGCCATAGATCTAGTCTACGGTCTACCTAATAAATGACATGTGATGGCACTGCCCATCGTCTAAAAAGTTATGACAGAGATATGACGGGGTCGGAACCGTCAAAACTACTCGGTCAAGATGTCTTTGATCTTGGCAAAGAGGGCTTCGTGAAACACGTAGTGGACAAATAGCTTACGCTGATTTAGTCAAGAAGTTAGACTTACGGCGGTTTTGAGAAACGGGCCCTGGCACCTTGCACTTGCTGGACACGAATTCCCCCTTGAATAGATGTATATCCTGTCATGTAGCGTTGTAGCGGTATAGGCCTAGCTCTAGAAGCTAAAATTCAATACCAATCTAATAACAAGACCTCATTCAGGACATGAGTTTACTTGCCCCTGCAAGACTGGAGCCCTTATCAGGCCGCCTTTGTTTCATCAATGCATGGAAATTCATTCCTTCAAGGGAGTACTGAATAATGGTGACTCTAGTCTATACAGTGTACAAAGCTAATTGGTATGATTTTTTTGTTTTTCTTTATTTTTCTTGGGGGGGGGGTGTTATTGTTTAAATGCTTTTGTCATTCATGGGACTTTTCCAGTAAGTTAAATCTTATTTGCAATATTCAGAGGTTCTTAATAAAACTTTGTTGCTCCTAAAAACATTACAAATAATCCAAATGATACTCCTTGACAATATTACTTCTGTTATGAATACAATTATTTCACCTCTACTTCCTTCATACAGGGGTGTTGTTCGAGCAACCAGTCTTTCTGCTTCTGGGGAAAAATTTGTTGGTGTACAAGATGTAATTGAAGTAAGTAATCTGATTCAGCAGTATTTCTGTGATGCTATTACTAGGTGATTTTATTTTTAATAATAAAATAAAGCAAAGGGATCATCAGGTTTTTTTGGTGTGTTGTTTTACCTACAATGTTACTCTGAAGTTCAAATTTATCTAGACCCCTGCCCTTTTTTTTTTTGGTGTGTGTTTGTTTTAATATGAAAAAATTCAATGAATATTTTTATACGATTGTATAAATCCCATCTTTTATCATTGTATTCAATCTTAAAATAAACGATTTCACGGTTCACCCTTCCCCTTTCTATTTTTTCTTCCCCCTTTTGTATTGGTGTTTAGGTTTTCACTGCTTTTCTTTTCTCGACAATACAGTGTATATTTGTGAAGGGGTTGACGTTCATAAGGTCAATTGCCCTTTTTGTTAACCCCACATTCCCATAAATTTTGTTTGCTCCTTCCCTTTGTATTTTTCTTGTTATCGATCTTTATCTGTATATCATGTTTGTATGTTTTAATGTTTTTATGGAGAATGAAAATAAATGAAATAAAATGAATATCATTGTTTTTTTTAAACTCATTCTTGCTCATGGTTTTTGTAATTTATGCAGGGTGCTTTAGATGAGCTGAAACCTGTGATTCCTGTGAAGCTTCATGTATCTAGTAGAACAGATACAGGTGTCCATGCCTTGTGTAATACAGCTCATTTTGATATGATCTTTAAGTCAAAGAGAACAGGTGAACCACGGGATATACTAGCTGAGAGCATCACAGCAGCCGTCAACAAGAAACTTGAGGATCATGATATCAGGTTACCTCAAGTCATTTTCTCTTTTTCACCTCAGGTTCTTGTAAAACCTATTTGCACATAATCATCTATTATTTTAGCTTGTGGTTCTGTCTACATTACCGGTATGCGTTTGATATTGGCGCCAGTTGTGATACTCCTTCAATTTTGTTTGGGTTGGATGATCATCAGTAGATCAGTACATGACAATAATAATAGTAATAATACATTTATAGAGCGCAGAAACTATCCAACATTAAGTATATATTCTATTGCACTACAAGAGCTCCTGATATGCTTAGATTTACAGGTACTGTAAATGAAAAAATGTGCTTTGAGTTTTGATTTAAAAATATTAACAGATGAATATAAACAAAATACACATTGCTTGCATTCACATTTTTCATCTCGTTAACTATGACAACCTCAATGATGTGGAGACAACCTTTGTTCTCCAGGGCTATGCCCCTTATGAATAAAAAATGGTTATATTCATGTCACCTTGAGGATCATCGTTTCCAAACGGGCCTTCAGTCACAATATCATTATATACTGTATTAGTATTTCATTAAAGACACTATTACACTGTAGTAGTATTTCATGCCGCTCTGTGTTTTTTACATTACTTTTGAATAGAATCATCAAGACTCTTAGAGTTCAGGACAGCTTTCACAGCCAGCACCTTGCGATGGGAAGAACATACCTCTACCGGCTTGCCATGGGATGCAGACAGATAGAGTTACCCGTCTTTGAAAAGAATAGGAGTTGGGCCTTCGACCAAAGGTGCATTTTATGTTTTAGAAATAATTTCATGATATGAAATTTGTTCATATCATGAAATTATTTCTAAAAAATTATTTTGATACTATAATTGAAATATTTATTTATGGAATATATGTAATTGCTCTTTGTATTTAAAGCTGTGCATGTTCATGAAAGATATTTGACCTAAACTGAGATTTACACATTCAAAAGTGGAGTAAAACAGTGATTAAGTTCATTACCTGTGAGCTATAAATAGCAGTGAAAGATCTTACATTGATAAACATAAACATAAACATTGAATCTACATTGCTTCACTCTACCCAGGGTTATAAATGGCCAGTATGATGCAGCTGCCATTGCCATATTGATTTACGGGTCTGTGTATAATGACAGCTGGATAGAATGAAAGCAATGTCAATGCAGAATTGTAACATTGAATTCAATCATAGGATAATTACAAGTCGATAGCTAGACAAAGTGCCCGTAGTTATCAAAATGAAGCACTAGCAAGTGTGTCATGGTGTTGTAGAGGTGTTGTGGTCTAGTGGATATGTCACCAGACTGTAAATCTTATGGTTCATGATTCGAGTCTAAGCTCTGATATCATTTGGCAAGACATTAATCTACATTCACCACTCTCCACTTACAAGTAGGTGTAGTACATTGTAAATGGGTACCTGGTAGGAATTGATTCATTGAATGCTTTCAGGGCCTTAGAGCGGCTTGGCTTAAGCCAAGGTAATAAAAGCACTCTCTAGATACCTCTAGCATCTTCTCGGGTGGATGTGTGGGCAGTATAAGTAAAGATATTGTTATTAAAGCCTGTCTGCAGTAATTTGGCCAGGAGGAATTAGACCTCCCTGCATGGTCACTGACAGGTGGTTATCTAATCAAATCAGCTCTCACTTAACATAAGAAAAAGAGGATCATGGGGGATCAACGGGTACCGCTTAGGCATGGTCTGCTATATAGGTAGAGGGCGCAAGAAGCTTCAAGTAGTGTAGTTCTGCTTTAAACAAATAATGGTTTGAATATTTTCTATATTTTAAAGACTTGACATCCCATCAATGAAGGAGGCATCCGGGAGGTTTGTTGGTACCCATGATTTCACTGCCTTCAGGAACTCAAGTATGGATGATGACAAGAAATCCCCGATCAAGACCATCGACATGATTGAGTTCAGAAGAACACGAGGATTCCTCTATCATCATTGTAACAAGATGGCTCAGTTAGAATTCTTGGAGCTCACGTTTCACAGTAGATCCTTCTTGTATCGACAGGTCAGTACCAGTGTTATATTTAGATTCTCACAGATATTGTTTCACATTGTAAAATAATGCTTTATTTTACACAAGTACAATCTTACACCAACAGATGGCAGTACATAATGGGATTGAGTAGAGCCATCTATACGCAGAGTTTGGCCAACCTGGTTCGAGTTGGACACAGTATGGCGACTACTGCTTTGTTGGGCAAGCGCAAAACAAAAGAATAAACGACATGTTGTGACCCAGTGAAACCAAGTTGGCCAAACTCTGTGTATAGATCGCTCTGGGATTGAGCAGGGCCATCTAGGCCAGTGCACAGAACCGGATCCGGAGTGGCCAACAATGTACAGTTAGACACAACATGGCGTATATTCCTTGTTGTGTACTTGCCCAACATAGGAACACATTCCATATTGTGTTCATCTGACATAAGACGGGGGAAATTGTTTTGGGATAGTCTCTCTATGGGGCTACCAGTCTGTTTTAAAAGCATGCCAGTTATTATTTCCTTGATTTTAGGAATACTTTCAGTTTCAAAGACCAGTTTTGGAAACCATTATTTGCCGCCTTATCGCCGGCAAATACGGTATATGCTAGATGATCAACCTTTTCTGATAGATTTCACAACGTTTCTTTCATAATGCAATTGCACGACCAGAACTGGTCTTTACCTTTATAAGGTTACAGTCCTAAATGAACAAAACTTATGCTGACTTCTTGCTATTGTCCGTTCCTCAGATTCGGAGAATGACCGGAGCGTTAGTCGCTGTGGGTCTGGGTCGTATAGCGCCCTCACACATCACAACCATCTTGGAATCTCGCGACAACAGTCATATGCATAGGACTACAATGGCTCCAGCCCATGGCTTGTATCTCAAAGAAGTACTTTACAATGAAAATGGTGAGGTTAAAATATTGGTGATTTAATCCACGTGCAAGAGATGAGACAATTGGCTTAATTTTCTTTTTAATGATTATGCAATTTATCAAACCTATAATACAAGTTGCTCACTTTTGTGCAAATACAATTCATCCTTGTAGATGATGAAGTCCATTTCTTACATCTATATTAGATATGTGTATTACTATTGATTGATCTTGTAAATGTGTTTGCAATTAGTTTGTAGTCTTTTGAACAGATCTTCAGAGGTTGATGCGTACTCCCTCTTTCTCCTCTACAATCTCTGTTTCTTGTCTTTCATCTTATTTTTTAATATTTGCCTGGGCTCATTCTTTCTTCTTACACACATGCACACTCTCTCTTTTCATCTCACTTTCTCTCTGTCACTGTCTCTCCTTAATATTGATCTTTCTCCCCATTTTCATTTATTTGATTCTACAGATCTCATATTACGCAATGTCCCATCTTCACCTACTGAAGACACATCCATTACCTGAGAAGACATTCACAAGTGCGCGAGTAAGGGTGCTATACCAAGGTAGATTTCTCTTGTGTAACATTTTTTGTAAATGTGTATTAAAGAAGAAAAAGGGCCTTCTGTGCATCAGGTATTCATGGTATTCATTTTGTTTTAATTGCATAATTGTCATGAATGGAAAGTACTGTCTGGTCATGCAATTACATTTTGAGTGCAACTGTCTGAAAGCAGCTGAACAATGTTGATTATGTCATCCATAAGAATTTTATATAAAATGTGAATATTTACATGTAGGAAGATAAAATGAACCAAAATCTACTAATTCTTGCTCTAGATCACATGCTCTGCATATACAAAATACCCAAATGTAGCTCGAAAGTCGGTCCAAATTTCAATCATATATTTTCGGGGCAAAAAATGAATAACAATTATTTTTTGCAACCCATAGGTTAGCATTTATGATATATTTTATTATGAAGGATGATGATACGTTCTGAGAATGATTGTTTTAATGAATAAATGTAATCATGACTTGGTTTCATTTGGCAGTGCTAAACAACCTCATAATGTACATGTCCAGGGTTCAGTGACACAAAGACGTAACTCCATATTTTGCCAAAATGAGTATTTGATATCAAAATGTTCAGAAAAATGTGGGCTTTCCAGGAAACACAAAGAAATAACTCCACCCAACACCCCATGAAGTCTATATATGTTCTTCTTACTCTATGTCTATGATGATCATAAAGTCATGAATCATAATTTCCTTCAGTCAGCTAAGAAATGAATCAGGGAAACAGTCAGATTAATTACCAGTATATGATTATTTGAGAAACACATGTAATGAATATTAAACAATCAATTATACAAGTTTGATTTGATGTGATTTAAATGGCAAAATAACATGAACTAAAGTAGCAAAATATGTACACACATCTGACATGTAGTGTTGTAATCATAGATTCAAAGTATTTTTTGGGGGAAAACAGTGCTTAAGGAAACAACTTTGTCTTTAAGGCTTATTCCTACTCATGAATATTAGGCTATCCTAACCTGTAATACATGTACCTAGGGAATCAAATGTAATACCTTCCTTAAAACTCAATACATCTTTTCATTGTGTCAGCATAATACTTACAATTGTGGTACCAGTCTTTAGAATATCAATGTGTTTACTGAATGCACTCATTTTAAGTAAATATCTTTAAGTGCAATGTATTCTACACAATTTTGTCATGATTCAATAAGAGCAACCCCTTCATGACACCTATTCTGCTTACTCATAGTTTTTGCAGTGTGTAATTTATCTTTAATAATAATGATAATAATAATTACATTTATAGGGCGCTTTATACAGACGTTTCTAAGCGCACAGGTGGTACTGTCTAACTTTTAATTATTCAGCATGTTCAGTACCTTAAAAGCAACAAAGTAAAATGAAATATTACTAATACAATGCAATACAATACAATTGAGTTGAATGAAATTAAAGGTAAGTAAACTATAACTTATTAAAAAGGTGGGTTTTGAGAAGGGTTTTGAATGATTCCATGGATGGGGCATTTTGAATATGGGGTGGGAGTTTGTTCCAGAGGGCGGAGGTAATCGATGAAAAGGCATGGTCACCATAACAGGTTTTTGTTTGTGGGCCATGAATTAATTGCATGGAGGAAGATGAACGGAGGGATCTGGCAGAAGTGGAGGATCGAAGGGAGACTAGGTCAAGAAGATATTTTGGGGCAAGGTTATGTGTTATTTTGTATGAAAGAAGTAGGATTTTGAAAGTAATGCGAGAATGGACCGGTAGCCAATGAAGTGAGCGAAGAACAGGTGATACATGGTCATATTTCCTACTTAATGTGATCAATCTAGCTGCTGAGTTTTGGATGAGCTGGAGAGGAGATATATGAGAAATTAATATCTATAGCCATGCAGTAAATGTAGTTCTAAGTAACATTTGGCATACATCATTACTGCTTATGATGAAAGCTACATGTATGAAGACTTTTCTCTCCTCAAAATTTGATACTTGCACTAGAAAAGAATTTCATTTTCAATTAATTTTGTTTTCATTATAGAAAGTTTAGAATATGGAACCTAAAATATGTTATCTCACTTTGGTAAACATTTTGCAAAGATTTTCATGAGTACCAGGAAATGGTTACAGTAAAATAAATGTAGTTACATGAAGTAGATGTATAAAGAAATGCATTACGTACCATAAGGTTGAGTTGAATTATTAATTGTATACATATTAGTATTTACAGTATGCAGTTACAGCAGTGTTCTGGCAACCAGCCATTACAATAAATGTCCAAATGGAATGTCAATTTTAAAATCTGTTTACTCTCTATATTGTAATAATTAAAAGGAGATAATTACTTTATTCTGTTGCATAAAGAGGTTTTAAATATGGTATATAACTATATACAAGACTGTGATAACATTAATACTTCTGAAATCTTGAACACATTCAAACTGTTTTTCAAAGTTATTATGAATGATATCACTTCTGTTGCTGTTGCTGTTGCCTATTGTGTGTCTGCAAGAAAGTTGATTAGTCAATCTAAATACATCCTCTTTTTACAGAATACATGATAGAAAAAAAATTAACAAAACATTTAACAGTGCCACCCAGTTATCAAACATGAATGCGAACTAAGATTTTGTCTCCAAGTTATAATAATAACAATGATACTGTGATAAGTGATAAGGATACAAATAATAACAAGAGTGTATGTATAATGTGCCAACCTAACAATGTTCTGAAGTTGCATAAGAATGATGTACATCTTTGGTTGATTTTTATTTAAAAAATATATATATTAAAAATGATTTTTTTATAAGCCTGTTCTAAATTTCCAAGAAGCACACAAGCTCGTCTTAGTCAAATTCCACATGGGAGTTTTGGTGGTGTAAAGTGGCAGTTGCACTCAATTGCTTAGAATCCTGTCCCCTTATCTCTTTGAAGAGCTTAATTCCCAAAGGAGCTAAATCCTCTTTATAATAAGTAACCGTCTTTCAACAAAATTATTTACTTAAATTTTAGGAGCAATTATGAAAAAATGCACCTTCTAATATCACTCTTTTCCATAGATGCCTGCACAAAATCTGGTAAACCATTTCTTTTTTCTCTGAAGTTACGAAAATGGATTTAGCTCATTTAGGAATTAAACTCTTCATTTTTAGAACACTAACGCAAGCTTTAGTGAACAATCAAAGCTGAGGGTGCTTTTAATTCACTGACGGAAAGCCTCATTACAGGTTCAGGCAACTGACCAACCAGGAACCACGTCCTGTCCTCAATGTTGAAGCATTGTATGTCCGCGTGACGCTTGGCCTTCTTACCGCTGTAACCTCCAAACACATAGATGTTATCCTCTAGGATTGCGGCTGCTGCAAAGCACACAGGGCGTGGCATGTTCTCAATGGACTCCCATCTATCTGTTATGGGGTCGTAACACTCCATGGACTCACAGTCAACTCGTTTAGCGGATGGGTCTCTGGTGTTGCCTCCAAAAACATAAAGCTTTCCCCCAGCTGTGCACATCATGTGGAACGCCCTCTTGGACGACATCGGAGACATGTGGACCCATTTATCAGATTTAGGATGGTAGCACTGGAGTGCATTTGTGAAGTGACGGCCTGCAACTACTCCACCTGTTACATATATCTTATCATCCAGTATCACGCTGGCATGCCCAAAGAGTCCTGTGTACATATGGCTTACATAGGTCCAGGACTCTGAGGCAGGATCGTAGAATTCCACACTGGCCAGAGAACCGTGAGCATTCTTGCCACCTACAGCATACAAGCGGTTGTTGAGTGTATTCAGGGAGAAGACTGCACGGCGCTTCTGCATGGGGCATAGCTGGGACCAGGTGCTTGTCTTGGTGTTGTACGAATGGACAGTGCCAATGCTGTCTGCTGCCTTGTTGTGTGCAGAGTGCTGGCCACCTATATATTGAAGTAAATGGGAAGACGGGATGGATAAGGTCCAGGGAAAATAACTATTTTTATTTTGTACAGCTTTCACTATGAATCATGTCTGAAAACCTGATGTTAGTTGTATACCATAGTACAGGTTATAAAGCAAATTAATCTGTCTGAATTCTAATCAAAAGGTTATACCTAAATGAAACATACATATTATGCTATTGATTGAAGGATGATATGTGAAGAAAACTTAAACAGCCTTAAGCATAGATTTTAAAGCATACAGGCAGTGACCTATTTTCCTTCAAGCCATCTCAAAAGCATTCTATATTATGCCTACATGAAATACTACCTTCTCTTTTTGTCCAGAGCTAATGAGTCTTGGCAACCTAACAAGCTACAAGTATGTTTGACTAAAAGAATTTGGCAAAATACATTTGGATTTGTGCATTCTTGAATGTAGATGTCAGTGTACATGTACATGTATTAGAAATACCATTTCCAAATTAACAATGTATAATATAAATTTCTTAGTTACAGTAGATTGCGCACAACCGTCATTTTTTAGAAAACATTAACTGAACTAACCTGCAACATAGAGGACACCATTAAGTACAGCACTGGCATGGTCTAGCCTGCTAATGGGCATTGCACTCCCGTTATTCCAGTCCCCTACCATTGGATCGAATGTAAAGGTTCTATCAATAGGAGCTCCAGTAGCATCATCTCCACCTACCAGCAGGAATGTAGTCTTCCCAGGGGCTTGTGTCATGTAGGAAGGACGGATACAGTCTTGAGTACGAGATGCGATGCATACCAGCAGCTTCTGCTTGAGTGGTGCATCTTCCGGTTTGACCAGGTGGGACTCAATGGATGAGATCTCAGCACGGATGTCCAATGGGAGAATGTCATGGAAACGGATGGCTTCAAGAAGGGGTTGAGTATGTTCTATTCTAGACTCGGAGCCACTCTGGATCCAGGTTATCAGGGCATGAAGCAACTCTGCTGCAGAACCATTCCTATGGAACTCTTCAAGTTGGCAGATAGCCATCATGTTATCAGAGGAGATTGTTAAGTAGTCTTCACTGCTATTGACAAGAAGCATAAAATTCTCAGCAATGTATTTCTCAATGCTTCTTTTGATTTTGCCAGAATCTGCGTTCTCTGCCTGTCTCAAGATGTTAAGACAAGTGTCTGGTTTGAGTAAGTTCTTAGTCTGTTCTGCACAGTACTGCTTCAGTTCTGGCATTTTAAGCTTTACCGCAGCCCGGAAGACATCTAAGATATGCTCTATAGAGATATCTTCTCCCAGCTCAGACGTATACATGAAAGACGTAACTGAACGGAGTGTTGCAACAGATACCCCATCCAGCTGAATCTCAGGTCTGTTGACGGGTGACTTCCCTCGCGCAGCAATCTTCAGAAGCTGGTCTCGTAGATATTTGCTGTTTGCGGCAAGTATGGTTCGATGGGCCTCGATCTTGGTTCCATTGACCACGATGGAGACATCGCAGAGGAGACCCTGATTGCGGAAAGAGTTGAGTTCCTTGAGAACACGACCACCGTGAATGGAACTGAGCGAGCTACTGATCATGTGTGATGAGGACTTGTTAGCAGGTTTGAGAGGAGAACGCCGGCCAAACGATGCAGGAAGATTCAGTTTAACAGGGTTCTTTCGTGGTGACAAGTCGTTTAAGAGGAAGTTTGGGGAATCTGCAGACTGATCCTGTATTGGTGAAAATGTAGAATATGTCATTTAACATAGATGACTTATAATAGGCATTTGATTAGAGAGTACTGCAACATCTTAAATTTCACCTGTAATTTGCATATAATTAACAATGTATAGCTATCTTCCTGATCACAACGTCTTTACTGAAAGGCCACAAGATGAAATGATAATCAAATGGAAACTCATTAAAATGTAAATAATTCAACCCATGAATCATTTTTCTAATGCACAAAGTGTAAAAACACTGATGACAATACGCTCAAATAGGAACATACATGTCATCAGATGAAGAAGTAAGTGAGGGTAATTTGGATTCCCTTTGGACATGAAAGGGAGAGACCTTTGCAGCAATAATATTGATGCCTTTTTAAATATAACGATTTCTTTGGATTTGTGGGGCCTTTGGATTAGCGCTTTTGATATTGGAGAGTATGTGATGAATTACTCGTGAATGAAACAAGTACGATGTTTTATCTTATCTACAATTGCATTACAGGGGATATATATATATATATATATATTTTGTTGATTTATTTAACCACGGTTAAAACACCTGCTATCAGCCACAAGGCTGTTTTTCAGCAAGTCTGTTAAAAAACATTCACACAATATACATAAATAAAACAAAAATAATTCATAATACAAATTAAAATAACAAGCATGCAATGTGTGAATAACTCTTGAAAACAATCACACTTAGTATTTTAAACATCGGAAATTATGAGGGGGGGGGGGGGAATAGAATTTAGTCAAATCAAAAGCTCCTTATCATAAAACTAATCATCAGACGTAGAATTGAGTGAAAGATTGAGAAAGCGAGGGAGAGAGAGAAAGAGACAGAGAGAGATGAGAATATAGAAAGAGAGAGAGACAGATACAGAGACAAAGATAGACAATAACAATTTGTATCCACTATAAGGATTGTATTTTTGTTGGTGGTAAATGTAATGAAAAGGAGGTTAGGATGTCGCGGTATATGGCTATACCACTAGTTTCAAGGGAAATTATATGTTAGGTGACTTGAGCCTCTAATAACAAATGCAAATCGGTATAAAGTTACATGGACACTAATTTGACATATGAAAATTCTTCCGTGGGCTTATTTCAGAAAAAAGCGAATATTATACTGAACAAGGGGTGAGCAACCCGCTTGTCATTCAAGAAAGAAGTTTTACAAGATAATTCATCACAAAGTGGTTATAAACGATCATAGTGATAATCTTTTGGTCTAGCCGTTGACTATTTTTAAATTTGCAGATCCGAGTAGTGAGACCCGTATACAGTAGGCCTGCACATGTATGATATATACTATGTATAACATATTATTTAGTCTATGACCAGATATACATGACAAAGAATCTTCAAGAAGAACAAGAGGTAGAGTGATTTCCAATACCGCAATAAATGACTTTTTAATTCGAAGAAAATACCCTAGTAGTAGTAGTCGAAATTAGCTAGATATGCTGTATACTACATTTGTATTGATACACAAACATGAAAAAGCCTTATACCTGCTTACTGGAATTAAATGCCGAGCATTTGTTTTCTTCTTTAAATAATAACGTGTAATTAAAATGAACCACTTTGAACTTACCATGATTTACCAGCTGATATATGCGACAGAGAACCTCTTCCTTCAATATAACATGTACAGCAATGCAGGTTAAAATTGTACGAATTCAGACATTGCAGCCTCTTCTGATATATACCTGTATGTAGTCCTGTACAAAACACTGTGCAACTATGAATAAAAAGTTGTGTACATTTAAATCTCCGCCACTTTTCGGTTGCTATTGTGAACAGAACGCTATGTCTATTGACCCGTGCTATAGTGAATCGAGGCGATCGATATCCTATTTGACAGATTCAACCTTATAGGGGGAGGGGTACATCTTAGTGAATTTACTGAGCTGTGTAATTTCACCTAGAAAATTGTAACCGCCTTTATTGTAGCAACTTCTTTCCGAGGTTTGTCAATTTTTCAGAAGTTTATGAGAACAAAAATATAGTACCGTGAATACCTTGAATATACCAAAGCTTCTGCAAGAAAGCCGTCTCCAGCTGCCAAGCTTCCAGGTCTAACTTCAAAGGGGGGGGGGGGGGGATGTCCCAGCTTCCGGGTCTTGTACCATAGTCATTTTAAATCTGTATCTTGCTTGCTAGGTTATATCAGGAATGTCATAATTGGAGTGCCTAACTATGTCGTCAGTGTATTGAATTGAATTTATTAATTCAATTGTCATTATGACAGGAATATTTCTTCAATTGGTCTGAGAATCACAAAAGCTAGGTAACAACATATTAATCATACATAACAATGAAGGCATATATTGTGTGTTAAAAAAAATCAGAAGGAAATACAGATGAGGTAGTTAAAAACCTTTTGTGTGTCATAGAATATAATACAAGAAAAGGAAATTAACTAATTAATTAAGTTATTAATTCATCTAGACATCTTGTCGCCCTCCTATCAATTTGATTTGATTTGATTGATTTATTCTCTGAATTCACAATCAAAACATGATATATATACAGAACATTTACAAGATTATATAAATATACATTTAAAAAAAACATAATATACAATGTAAAAAAGAGAAAAGAAGAAGACAATAATGAAGTCGGAAGGACACCCAGTTCAGTCAAGCCATAGAGACAAGGCTGTTCTTCATGGGGTCCAAGATGATTGTTATAGTGAGGAACACGTGACTCGAAAAAAAGAAAACAAACAAATTAAATCATCAAATCCAATTAACAGCTTACATGAGATCGGGAACGAAGCCGAAGGCAATTTGGCTTTTTGAAAATAATTGAAGACAATGGGAGTTTAAGATTTACGAGAAGATTGTTGAATTGAATAGCACCTCTGTAAGAGAACGTACGTTTACAATAATCTGTTCTGGGTTTTGCCAACAATAAGTTTCCATGAGACCTAAGCGAATAGTTGTGTTGACAATATTGGAGGCAGAATATTAAATGTGTGAAGAAAAAGAAATTTTATTTTGATTTATGCTTCATTCAGATCTCAGCATTCATACCACGCGGTCATTTTATTGAGCTCCAATAATTTCTTCTCACATCAGTCACTGTTGCTCATAAAGTTTGAACAATTTTTCCTTCTCCTCTTATGATGAAATTATTGTGACTTTGGAGCTCCATTGGTTTTTGCCTATGAATGAACAAGCAAGGCTCTAAGATATGTTGATGTAGATTGTAAAGCGTACTCTTTTAAGGTAGAGCGCATGGAGAATTAATTGTTAAAGTGACTCGGTAACATTGTTGAAAGCTGACTAAAAAATTGCATAATTATTGTATGTAATGTTACTTATTATATTCCTTCTGCTGTACTAACCCTCTAACATGCAAAAAATCCCGAAAAAATTCTTCAACCACAAAGATATCTTTGATTTTCTTTGAAAGTGTCATTGTGCAACACCCTCTAACAGTAAATTCTCCCAACATTTTTTGAATTTTCCCAACCGTTTTTCCATGAAAAAAGACATAAGATAGGCTTTTCAAAATCTTTCAACACTTAAATGTCTGGAATAGTACATAGAGCAAATTTATTGCTTTGTGACGATTTAAATTCACCTAAAATGTATTTAAATTGTTAAAATATAGTTGGGAGAATTAAGCAATCGATCACATCAGTTTTTCCCAATTTATATCATTAATAATGGTCCGTTTTCACTCAAACTTTCAGATTATCTTTAATTGTACATCTAGCATTGGAGTCACTACCTTAACACCACTTTATCTCATCTGAACAATGTAACCAAATCCCTTTAATTATTATGCGCTAATAAATCAAAAGTTATTATTATTATATTCCAACCTCTGCCTGCGTGATGCCTCTGTGAAATATAACTTCACTCGGGGAATTCTGAATGTCGGCCCATTATTATTTTAAACGCTGGAGAATGCAATATTTGTATAATATTACACACCCTACCAAACAATGTACATCAGTGATGGTTTGATTTGGGAGGTGTTAAATGGCGTGATGATGTGACTATATCGGGACAGGTTCCAGATAGGCCCTGCATAGCACATTTGAATTAGGAGGGGATTTACTTCTTAACACTTTCATTCTCTATCCCCCCCCCCTCTCTCTCTCTCTCTCTCTCTCTCTCTCTCTCTCTCTCTCCATATCACCTTTTCATTATGGCTCTTCTATTTCTCTCTCTCTCTCTCCCTCCCGCTCTCTCTCTATCTGTATATATCTTCCTTCCCCCTCTGTCTGGAATATCTTTGTCTCGGCACCTGTAAATTTGGGCGTGCACTATATTTATCTGATCTGGCTCTCTTGTTTTTTCTCTCTCATCACTCTTTCTTTATTTCGTAATTCTTTCAGTCTATCTGTATTTCACTCTGTATCTCTCGTCAAAGTACACGATTTAAAATCTTCGATGTAAAAGTGGAAACACCACTTCATGCCTTCTTTTGGTCAATACTTGTAAATTATAAGGAGAGAAACACGTGATTGCCTGAGAGACTAAAAGAGATTCCTTTTTGCAATATCCCCCTCGCTCTCTTTCTCTCTCTGTCTCTTTCTATTTCTTTATCTCTCTCCCTCCCCCCCTCTCTCTCTCTCTCTCTCGTTCTCTCTCCTCTCTCTCTCTCTCTTTCTCTCTCTCCCTCTCTTGTTCTCTCTCTTTCTTTCTCTCTTTCTTTCTCTCTCTCGTTCTCTCTCCCCCCCCCTCTCTCTCTCTCTCTCTCTCTCTCTATCTATCTGTGTCTCTTTCTCTACTGACCTCTTGAAAGTGATCTGTTTTGGTCGATATCAGTTTATTATATGTACACATACTTTGCTTTTGAAACCATAAAATATACATTTCAAAAGGTTATACTGCAATGATCTCCAATGTAATTTAATATTCCACATTTTACATCGGTTTATTCATCATAAAATGCATTATTGCACTTCATATATTGGTCTTTAATTACCTTAAACATGAGAATAGGAACTGTACAGAACTTTTAGTAACAAGGTAAATCAAATATTTGTCCAATGGTTCTCATTCTTTCTATTCTCTTTCCATCCCTCTCTTTTTTGTCTTCTCATATGAGATTATATCTCTATAGTTTTCAGTCATACATGTTTGTATGTGTGTATATAGTACTCCAAACGTGTACCTCTAACATGGTAACCCTTTTGTAACTTAGCAAAATAATGAATATTTCCTTCGAGGTTGATAATGTGAAGTATACCGTATATTTTGTTATCGTTTTTGGAAATGACCAAATATCAAGGCGTTGTCGAATATTATCCGCAATGCAATGGCGTTTTATGAATCTGCGTGTTCATAATTATTATACATTCAAAGATGTAATCCTGCAAGCGTTGAGATTATGTAATCATACTTTTATCACGAACTATCGAGACATTCTTACACATTTTAATTACTCTTGGAGGAACTGTGATCAATTATTGTTCAGTTGCTGGCCATGGTATCCTGTATCCATGGGTTGAGGTAGGACACATCGCTGTAGACACCGTAGTAATCTTCAGCGGCACAGCCGTAACCCCAGCTGACGACTCCTACAAGAGTCCATCCAGATTGATTCTTCACCACCATAGGTCCGCCGCTATCACCCTATACAGCAAGGAGAAGAAGTTATATTTTGGGATGGTTGTTTTATGGGCACGGCAAGGATCGAGTTTGCTCGAAGTATGAGAATTTAAGAATGAACCTACTCCTCTACAGTCTCAGGAGCGCGTACGGATAAAGTGTGTGCGTGCGTGTGTGCGTGCGTGCATGTGTGTGTGCGTGTGCGCGTGTGTGTTGTGTGTGAGCATAAGACTAAAGTTCCTAAAGGTTTATAAGATCGACACAACAAAGAACTAGTGGATATTTCGTAGGCTGTCGGTCTTAAATGTGAACTCTCTGAAAAGTGAACGGAAGGGCCATGAGAGTTGGTCTACTGAAGTGTTGGTCTTGTGGGCTGTCGGTCTACTGGTTGTAGTCGTAAGGGGTCTATTTACTTACCTGGCATGAGTCCTTGCCTCCCTCTTTCAATCCAGCACATATCATTGTTTCGTCAATACTGCGACTGCCGTACGCAGCTTCACATGCTTCCTGACTGACGATTGGTACATTGACTTGATAAAGTTGGTTAGGAGAAATCCCTCCAGACCCTATAATGTATAATTCAGATATTAGAAGTGACTAAATATTAACCATGAATAATTTATAACGGTGGGTTCACAATCACAGCGCCATTTAGCGACACCAGTGTTTAGTACATGTAGATTTCACGCGATGCATTATGGTAAAAAGTCGACGTCACATCACATCATGGCGCAAGTGAGATCTGGCAGTCTTGTAAAGATTGTCTGATATTCAGTCATGCATGCAGAGATTCAAATGAAAATGATATCTAAATGTACTGGGAAGATAACTCTATCAAGACATATCATGAAAACCATGATTAAATATTCATACTTCAAACGATACAACTTTTAACAAGTGGGATATTTTTTCTGACTCACTGTATATTGAGCCGCGAGCAGAAAAATGTGCATGTCGCAGCCAGCCGGTAGGGGCGCTGTTTATTGTGAATCCACCGTTTAAGATTGGCAAACTACTTTGCTTAGAAAAATATACAAAAAACGCATGACCAGGCTATAGCCTAATTATCGATCTGACCATACATTTTGGAACACCTACATGTATCCGAATCCCTACAATCAGTACATAGTCGATAGTAGGCTTCTGATAACAAAATGTATATTTTCACCGTGCACACAAGTATGGAATTTAATCACAACTTTACATAACTAGTTATACCTTGATAGATTTCAGGTATAGTAATATCATACTAGCGAGAGACATTCTAGTGTGGCACCGATGACCGAGACCCCATAGATTTAGCTGGTGTCTCGAATACAGGTAGTACTAGTAATGCACATCTAAGGAGGATTAATGACTTTATCGTCCGAAGTAATGTGACTTCATTGTAGTGACTCGATCTAATTGCACTGAGTATTTTTTTAAATAATTATTCTTGTTAATCATCTATAAGCTATACAGGCTATAGTCTGGGCCAATATATATGTAATACCTACTTAAAGCTCCCCAGCCAGTGACATAGGCATCTACGCCATTACTTGGTCTGGACGTAGCTAGGCAGGCTGGTGAGGCATAGTCATTGTATTGGACAAGACCATCGAGCTTGATGAGAGCAATGTCATTACTGTTGCCGTTTCCTTTATACCCTTCATGACGGATAATCTTCTGGGCTCTGAAAGTCTGACGAGTCGCTTCTCCGGTATCTGCTTTTTCGTGACCTCCTACGGAAAACTCGTAGTCGCTAAAGTCGGGACTGAGATGGATAAAGGTGAAAATTGCTTTCATTATTCAGATATCGGAGACTTGCTGATCGGGTATAACATGAACATTTAATTGGATTCACATCTGAAGAAGTAAAAACAGGAATTGAAAAAAGGGGGTTTGGGGGGCGGGGGGGGGGGGGGGTTCCACGCTTGCAGTTAGCACTTGATAAAATAACTAATGAGACAAACTGTGTCAAAAATTATGTGGGACGCCAAGCCCATGAATTATAATGAATTTATATTTGGATTCACATCTGAACAAGTTAAACAAACAAAAAAGCAGAAAAAGGGGGTGTCTTCCACGCTTAAAGTATGTACATTAAAGTCACTTGATAAAATAGTTAATGAGACAAACTGTGTCAAAAATTATGTGGGAAGCCAAGCCTATGAGCATTATACGAGTATAAAAAGAAATATTATTTGACGAAATGAAATTTGAAGAAATTTGGTTTCACGACATTTGGATTTCTTCTTTAATAATAATAATAACAACATTTATAATGCGCACATATCCACCCCAAGAGATGCTCAAGGCGCCAGGGTCCGACCTAATGTTTAGCATATCCTCGTTTAATCGAGACTTAATTAATACAGCTACAACGTGTGAATATGAATATACAGTAATCGTGTTAATGCTCATTGTTTTTTTTTCCTGTGCCAGCATGCGCTTACTTTTTTTCAAAGCAATGAGCTGCAGAGACAACCCATTGATTGTCAATGAGTGTGGCTCCACAGTAGTGCCCGTTATTCTTGATCACTTCAGTCATCCAGGGCCAGCTGTTAGGCTCGGCAGGTTGACCACCAACGATGTAAGTTGACATCTCAACCGGTGGAATCGCCGGTTGACCGCACTCAGTAGCCGCTGGAATTTAAGAACAGCGCGATAATTTCACGTAATTTGGTGCATAAACATCTCATTCTCAGCATTGCTCCAACAATATTAAAGTTTGTTCACATATGCGGCTCTAAAACCGCCCCATATGAAAAATAATAACAACAACAACATAAACAAACGCCGCGGTAATTCTTCTTTACTACGTGTAAATGAATGGCAACCTTGCGCACAACAAAGGTCCTACACATGAGCTCACCAGTGGCGTACGCAGGATTTTTCAAGGGTGGTGCTTTTAAATTTTAAAATCGCGCCGAAAAAATTCGCAACGACTCAGCCAACCGCTGAATAAGCCGGGGGGGGGGGGGGGAAGGGTGGTGGTAAGAGCAAATTTGTTTGTTAGGGGAGGGGGGGGGGGGGTCCAGAAAAATTTAGTGAATCCGCTGACTAATCGGAGGGGGTAGGGGCAATTTTTCTTTTCTTTTGGTCCAGAAAATTTGAAAATTTGGCCGACCGAAATTTCGTTCAGTTATGGGGGGGGGGGGGGGTCGTCAAAATCACAGACATGAACAAAAATTGAGGGGGAGTTCGACGAGCGGACTTTTGCTAAAGGGGGGGGGGGGGTGTGCTGAAAAAGCCTCGTATAACAAAAGAAAAAGGTCGACCCGTATTGACTTTCCACACCGTACTTTTGCTGAAAATGGGGGGGGGGGAGGGGGGGGGGGGCGCTGGGAACACACATATGCGTACCCTAAATAACACTGAATGGGGGGGGGGGGCGGGACTCGGTATACCTTCAAAACAGTCCAAACACCCTCGGCTATCGCATCGGGTGTGTTAGACTGTTCCAAAGGTACCTTGTGTGGGTAATGCATACTAATACCCCCACTGCTGTGTATTATTTTTTATACTATCCTCCTGGTTTAATAATAATGATATGAATATTATCAACCGGAAGTTTAGTGCTTTTAACTCTTCCAATTTTTCAAATTGTAAAGAAGTCGAACAACTGGCCTGCCGAACTACGATTCCGAGCCGATCTCGCTTTTTCCCCTCCAAGGGAGAATGATATCGGCGAGGATTTATTTAACTTGGAAGGCAATAGCGCTGATTTGGTACATTATAGGTCCTGGCCATCAAGATTTTTCATAGCGCGCCAAGTACTGCTTACTGATCGGTACCCGCACTCCTTATTTGTATTTCAGAATCCGCTAGTGATGAGGAAAAGGTAAAGGCTCAGTAATATCAACAGTAGGATGGTGATATGACAGAGTTATGGTAAGTCATGTGGTACTGGTGTCTTACCGTTAATAGCGCTAAAAGCGCAGGCGAGGATTAGGTACCACAGCATGATGATAAGTTGATCTGTGAACGTCTTTCAGAAAGCTGTCCGTTGAATGAAGACGTGCCCAAAAGCTAGGATTCTTATCCTTTTTTTCACAAGCACGGGAAAATCACCACTGGGGAGGGAAGGGGGCAATGTCCCTCCTATATCATCATGACCGGTGCACCCCCTCTCTCTCTCTCTCTCTCTCCCATGATCATCATTATAATCTGAACAACGGATAAAATTCAACGTTGCTGATTTACCCGTTCCTTGAAGTCTTTTGAAAAAGATCTGACCACGCCCATTTTACGGATATCTTACTAGGAGTAAACAAACATCAATCAACCTGTCACGGTGTTACTAAATTAAGGTTTTCAAATGCTGTCAGATGTATGAATCTCATGGTCCCCTGAAAGAGAATGAAGAAATATTACTATCGGTAACTAGGTTGTTCGACTGACCTGTACAGACGTGTGGCTGTCACGAGACCTATTCCTAAACGCCACTTAATAGTTTGGTAAGGTCAACTTATATGTCTTTTTATACAGTGCGTCCCAGATAAAACGAAACCGAGAATTATCGATGTTTTATCATAACTTAATCACAATTATAATTGATAAATGACACATATTTCGAAAGCTTAGATCCTCCTCTTTCACTTGATGCAACTCATTATGATGCATATTTCACGCATGAGTGATTACAATCAATTTGAAGAGAGTAAACCGAAAAGCCGTTCGGCGTGCGGTATCTGAATTTCAAAGAGAAAATCCCATTTCTAGAAAGTTGAGTTTTTGCCCTTTCATATGACACCTCAATCAGGAAAAATGAGCAAGGAATGACAAGGTCAATTCTGTTTTTTGCAGGCAGCCAGTGAAAACGAATTCGTTTAATCAAATTATGGAAATGCAAGCACTACTTTAAACAAACAGAACTTTCTCATTCCTTGCTCTTTTTTCCTTGGTATATCGAGAGGATTTATCTAAATTAAATAAAAAACATTTTCTTTAAAAACTCAGTTTTGGGGCAAAATGTGGCAACAGTTTCGGTCAAAGCATTTTATCTTTTGGTCGCGTTATTTCACACCACAGGAACTTCGATCATATTTTGTTTTTTATTCATGTAATAAATTCAAATTTCATACCCTTTGTCCTTACTAGATGCCACTAAAGTTTTAACACCCCTGGAGCTCTAGCTATTACTTGTACGCTAAGATCCGAAATCATACCGTATGCTCTATTTTTCTTTTCTTAATTGATTTCACTAAGATTTCTATGACGCACATGTATGTTGAGAGATGGGACGGCGTTAGGTCTATTGAGGCCTTTGGTCTCTTCAAGCCCCACTGCACTACTTATAGCTACTTGCGCCCTCTATATATCAAACAATGCCTAAATGGTGACGTTGGTCCCCCATGGTCTCTTTTTTCTTATGTTAATTGAGAGCTGATTTGATGAGATAACCACCTGTCAGTGACCATGCAGGGAGGTCTAATACCTCCTGGCCAAACTAGTGCAGATATAGGCTTTAACATACGATTTGGAATCTATGTGAAGCTTCTGACCTGTGTTGATTTTTTTAATGAATTCATTTCATTTTTAATATCAATTTCATTATAAACTTCATAACTTTGGGATATAACATTTTGTTCACAGTCCAATTAACTTCATTTTGTTTGCAGACGGCACAAGTATTTTTCATCACGTAAAAATTTGAACTCTTTGCATATCAATTGGTCAATGAGTAACTAACTAGTATAGCTCACGGGATGCAAGCAAATGAATTAATTTTAAACACTGAAAACAAATGACCCGACTTTGAGAACACGTTCAATTAAAAAAAATGCTGATCTGAAGTTATGCTATAGAAATAAAGAAATAACATAGGCGCAATAGACCAAATTTTTAGACATTTATCTGGACGGAACTATCACTTTAATGATTTATGCACTAAACTCATTAAAAAAAACATTAGTGTACTCTATCAATTACAGTTTTTACCACGTAAAAATATTAAAATTAATGAACGACTCGCTCTTATCTTCAAATTTGATTTATTATAAAATAGTTTGGGGATTCACATCAAATACCAATTTAAACAGAATTCATATGTCACAAAAATAGAATACTCACTCAAATTTGTTTGCCACAGTGATACCCTTTTAAAGCAAATGCAAATCTTGCCAATACGTGACGTGATATATTAAAAAGCTTGCCAACAATGATTGTTCTAATTTTGTCAAGATAATATCTAAAACAAATGTATGCCTTGTGAAATCGCACAAAATATGATACAAGCGTATCATTTATCTATGCATTGCAAACAACTTTGTTAGCTTTCCTATTCCAAAAATAGTTTGACAGAGATAGGTATAACCAAGTTAATCGGCAGGTACAAAAGCTTCTAACTAAAATAAAACAAAGGTTCTGAATCATCAGGGATGTAGACTAGTTTTAAGACAAAGGTCCTGTATTGTGAAGCCAGTTTAGGCTATGAATTGGATTACACTATTAAGGTTTGTTGAAGTGTTCGACATCGCAGCTGAAAGGTGTTACATCATGAAATAAGAGATGAAATTATGAAATATTATATGCATAAGATAGTATATGCAAAACACAACATGACTTTTCGTAATGTATTTTGAGTGTCAATTGAGTTTTCGTGTTTGTAAACATAAGCTTTAAACGGAGCTATGCGACTGCAACGGTCTACTATATGATGACTGTCATGATTGTTGCAATCAGGCGCGTACGCAGGGGGCGGGGGGGGGGGGGGGGGGTATGGGTTGCGTAAAAAGGGTTAAATTTCAAGCAATGTCCGCGGACAAAATATTCCTCGAAATATAGAAAATAGGGGTGCACAGGTGTCCTCGAAATTGATAAATAGGGGTCAGGAAAAGGGAAAAGAGAAAACCGGAAAGAAAAATTATCGGAGCCGAGTCTTGTCCTTGAAATATGGTAAAAATAGGGGTAAATTTGCGAAAGTGTCCTTACAATCTTATAAATAGGAGTATTCCAAAGTACGATTTTGTCTTAGTTTTGACGTAAAAAAAGGGGGTTAAATTTCACAAAATGTCCTTGAAATTGACCGCAAAAGGGGGTTATTTGCATTTGTGGTAACGGTCATACGTGTCACCCTCTGCGGGGGAGTGACCCCATCGGGCACTCAACGTGAAGTCAGAACAGAAATTAGCGAACTAGTCGTCAAGGAGCATGATAGTTTGAATTATAATTCTTGTAAAAGCTGTACAGATGCCAATTCAAGGAGCTTGGACGTCATGGGAAGAAGTGCGAAAAAGGAAATTGTTCAATTTCATAAAAGAGAGATAAAAACTCATTCCCAAATATTCAATTTAGTTCCTTTGTTTGTGCATCAGTGAGGGTTTTATTCGGGAGGTATTAAGAGCTTGATGTGGTAGGGTCCATGCTTGGTGACCATAGACCCTGCATTTGATATAGGAGGGACTTACTTCTTTACATTCTCTCTCTCTCTCTCTCTCTCTCCTTATCTTTCTATCACCTTTCTATATTATATGGCTCTTCTATAAATTTCTATCTCTCTTTCTATCTCTCTCGGTCTCCTTCTCTCTCTCTCTCTCTCCCTCTCTCCCTCTGTATATATATCTTCCTTCTCCCCTTCTCTGGAATATCTATGTCTCTGCATCTGTAAAGGGAGCGCGCTCTCTTTTCTCTATAAACAATAATACTAATAATAAGATATTTCTATACCGCAAATTGCATAATGCCTCCAATCGGTTTAGAAGGGAAATAGTTGATAAGTAAAGAAAACAGAATTTGCATTACAGATTATATCAAATTAATTAACATTAAAACTTTGCAAATGACAATAATACATGTACATAATTACAAATCACTTACAACCAAAATACAAATAGTTCATAAATTAATAGTATCCTACGTTAATCTACAAAACATATAAAAGGCAAAAGGTCAGAAGGCTATTCAGGAACAAGACTTAAAGAGATGCCATTTTAGCATTGATTTAAATGTATTTTAAGAACTGGCATTTCGAATTTGAAGGGGGAGACTGTTTCAAAGAAATGTAGCTGCATAAACGAAAGAACGTTGACCGTATTGATTGTAAGATATAGTGTGAGACCGAGTGAGTAGAGATTGATAATCAGATCGCAAAGTCCGGAACGAGTATATCGAGGAAGGAGTTCAGAAAGATATGAAGGAGCGAAACCATGATAAGTCTTGAAAGTAAGGAGGAGAATTTATTAAGTGATGCGATAAGTGATAGGAAGCCAGTGAAGTATTTGAGGAACATGGGTAATGTGAGAAGTACGAGGAACACAAGAAACTATTTCTCCATTTCGTTCTTTCAGTCTATCTGTCTTAACACTCTGTGTCTTTTTCCCCTCTCGATCTCTTTCCATCTGTAGGCTATCTGTCGTCCAAGTACAAGATTCTTCGATCTAGAAGTGGATATACCACTTCATGTCATCTTGTGGTCAATAAGTGCAAATGCACCCTCTCTTGCACTCTCTCTTTCTCTCCGTCTCTCTCTCTCTCTCGCTCTCTCTTTCTTTCTCTCTCTCTTTATTTAACTTTCTTTATCTCTCTCTCTCTCTCTCTCTCTCTTTAACTTTCTTTACTGACCTCTTGAAAGGGATCTGTTTCGATCGATATCATTGGTATTGTGTCAAATTACTTTGCTTTTAAAACCATTAAATATAATATTCAAAAGGTTACTGCAATGTCATCCAAAGTAATTTAATATTCGACATAATTATTACATCAGTTTGTTCATCATTAAATGTAATCTTGCCCTGCATATATTGGTCTGTATTACAACGTCATAATATTACTTCGAACGTGAGAATATGAACTGTTCACAAGTTTCAATAACATTACTTCAAAATAACATTATGAGGATAAATTTAATGTTCAAAGATTAGAAAAGTTTTCTTCAAATAGTTTGGCCGAAATTGGTCTAGTTCTCATTCTTTCTTTTCCTTTACTCCCTCTCTATGTGTTGTCTTCTTATATGAGATTGTATTTCTAGTTTTGAGGTATAGGCCTACATGTTTGTGTGCATATATAGTACTCCAAATATACCTGCTACATCGGTACCCTTTTGTAACTTAGCAAATTATGAACATATATTTTGTTAACATTTTGGGAAATTACCAAATATCATGGCGTTGTCGGATGTAATCCGCAATGCAATGGCGTTTTATGAATATTCTATTCTGCATGTTCAGTTAGTATTATACATTCAAAGATGTAATCCTGCAAGAGTTGAGCTCTAAGATTGTGTAATCATACTTTTATCACGAACTATCGAGACATTCTTACACATTTCAATTACTCTTGGAACAACTGTAATCGATTGTTTAGTTGCTGGCCATGGTATCCTTTACCCACTGGTTGAGATAGGACACATCGCTGTAGACACCGTAGTACCCTGCATCGGCACAGCCGTAACCCCAGCTGACGACTCCTACAAGAGTCCATTCATATGAGTTAAATCCAGTTTGAGTCTTCACCACCATTGGTCCGCCGCTATCACCCTATGCAGCAAGGAAAAGAAGTTTAAAATTTAAAAAAATATTATATTTTGGGATGGCTGTTGGGCATGGTAAGGATCGAGTTTGCTTACAGTTAACTTTTTCAATGATGCTTTGATATTCGTGGTATCCAAATATAAAAACAGCATTTCACCATGCATAGCTTCATTCAGAAATAGCCATGGTAGTTTAGGTAAAATAAAACTGATTTATAAATTATTGTCAACTCCTGCTTCTTTGTTTCATGCCGCCTTCTTATTTGTGTTATTACTTGCTTTGTTTATTGTACGTGACATAAATCAGAGTATGCGAAAATCGAGACCACAAGTTAACTAACATAATTATAATGTTAATTTGAATTAAATTGAATGATGACATTGTGTAATAAACGGTTATTCATAGATGTGGGTCAGTGTGAATGTGTAGGTTTGGGGTGGTTTTGTTGTTGTTGTGTGCATAAGAAAAAGTTACTAAAGGTCTATGAGACCGACAAAACGAAAGACTAGTGGATATTTCGTAGGCTGTCGGCCCACTGTCGGTCTTGTGAACTCTCTGATAAGTAGTGAATGGAAGGTCCATGAGTGTTGGTCTAAATGATCATTGATCTTATAGGCTGTTCTCGTAGGCTCTCTGTCTATATAGTGAACTATTACGAAAAGAAGTGTCAGAATGCCCATAGACATTGTCGGTCTCGAGTGGGTTATTGGTCTTGTGGGCTGTTGCATGGTCCACTAGCTGGATGAAGTCATTATTGGTCTATTTACCTGGCATGAGTCCTTTCCTCCCGCAATATATCCAGCACATATCATTGAATCGTCAATCTTGCGACTGCCGTAAGCAGATTTACATGCGTCATCACTGACGATTGGTACATTGACTTGATAAAGTTGGTTAGGAGAAATCCCTCCAGACCCTATAATGTACAATTCAGATATTAGAAGTGACTAAATATTGAACATGAACAATTTATAACGGTGTATTCCAGCCATCTCCCTAGATGGCTCTGGTGGATTCACAATCACAGCGCCACCTAGCGCCACCAATGTTTAGTAGATTGCATTCGATGCATTATAGAAAAAAGGTGTGTGTGTGTGTGTGTGTGTGTGGGGGGGGGGGGGGTTGGGGGGTTGGGGGTTGGGGGGGGGGGGGGGGTAAGGGTACAATTTTTTTTGTCCCGAAAGTTTGGTCGACCGATATTTCGTTCAGTGGGGGGGGGGGGGGGGTAAGTGAGTGCAATCATCTAAGATTTTCAGACCCTTTTATCGAATGGTCGTACGTTTTGTGCTGCACAAATAGTCAATTAGTTTAATTTTGGCCATTACTAGTAGTTATTGTCTGTAGACAAATGCTCATGTAGGCGCTTTTATGTAGGTTATTACCAAAGAAAAACAGATGTCAGTTAGTCACTCAATAATGTCTGACAGTGAAGTCTAGAAGGTAAGCGGGTTTCCTTGCATAATAGGAGATTGCTAACGTTTACATTTCACAGATATGGCATGCGTGACATAGGCTACTCATAATTCCTGCAAAGTTCTACAGAATTTGATGTTGGCTGCATAAGGAAATACACATATAAGGAGAATTATTATTAATTATCTTCGACCGAAGTAATGTGACTCAATCTATGCACTGAGTATTGTTTTTAATACAGGCTATATAATCTTGTTAATCCATAAGCTATGATATAGGCTATAGTCTGAGCCAATACTTACTGAGAGCTCCCCAGCCAGTGACATAGGCCATTGTACCATCACTTGGTCTGGATTCAGCTAGACATGCTGGTGAGGAATAGGTATCATATGTGACCTGGCCATCAAGCTTGATGAGAGCAATGTCGTTACTGCTGGAGAGTGCTGAATACCCTTCATGACGGATAATCTTCTGGGCTCTGAAAGTCTGACGAGTGCTCTCTCCGGTATCTGCGCTTTGGTGCCCTCCTGTTGAAAACTGGTAGTTGTTAAGGTTGGGTCTGAAATGGGTAAGGGTCAAACAAACTATCATTATTCAGATATCGGACACTTACTGATCGGGTATACATATCATGAATATTTACTTGGATGCACATCTGAACAAGTAAAACAAAAATAATTAAAAAGAGGTGGGGGTGTGTTCCACGCTTAAAGTTATTACATTAAAGTCAGTTGATGAAATAATTAATGAGACAACTGTGTCCCTATGTGGGAAGCCAAGCCCATAAACATTATTCGAGTATAGGAAATAACATTGTTTGACAAAATGAAATTCGAAGAAATTTGATTTCACGATATCTGGATTTCTTCTTTTTACGAAGGGGTCCGACCTAGGAGTTACAAGCACTTCTTGGTCCGACCCAATGTTCAGCATATCCTTGTTTATAATATGCTGAAGCGGATCCTAATCAAATGATTGGTTGAGAGTGTACACTTGACCAGGCATTTATGTTGCCTAACACGTAATTAAAATGGATAATAGCGCTATATAAATCTCATGTATTATTATTATTAGAAGTAGTAGTAAAATCATGTTATAAAACATCATTTTATAAAACAAATAAAACATAATCTTATAAAACAAATAATAGGCCTACACATCATTTTGTTCGGGCATTAGTAAAATTACACACCCAGGATCTTCGAAACAGTTCAAACACCCTCGGATATCGCCTCGGGCGTGTTAGACTGTTCCAAAGGTACCTTGTGTGGGTAATTCTTACTAATGCCCGCACTGCTGTGTATTATTATTATTTTTTTATATTAATCGAGACTATCATGCAGCTACAACGTGTGAATATGAATATAGTATAGTAATCGTGTTAATGTTTTTTTTTTCCTGTGTCACGCTTACGAGCTTTCAAAGCAATGGGCTGCAGAGACAACCCATTGATTGTCAATGAGTGTGGCTCCACAGTAGTGTCCGTTATTCTTGATCACTTCAGTCATCCAGGGCCAGCTGTTTGGTTCGGCAGGTTGACCACCAACGATGAAAGTTGACATCTCAACCGGTGGAATCTCCGGTTGACCGCATTCGGTAGCCGCTGGAATCAAAGAACAGCGCCAGAATTTTACTTAATTTAGTGCATACGCATATCATTCTCATCTAAGCACGAATGCATTCAAACCGCCCCCATATAAAAAATAACAACCACAACAAGTGCATAATTATCTCATTCTAAGCATTGCTCCAGCATTATGAACTGTAAAGGCTTGTTCACATAATTATGCGGCTCTAAAACCGCCCCCATATAATTTTTCGTACAACAACATAAACAACGCCACTTTAATGCCAAGGTCACATTTGCCGCGGCGGCCGTGCGGTCTAAATTATCTTTGGCCAATAGCAATTATAGGACCGCCGCAGCATTCCCACGGTCACATACGGTAGCGGCCACATAATATTTTAGGGTAGCCGCACGGCGGATTTTAAATTTGTGGAGACAGAAAATCTGAGACTGCCGTATCGCCTTTGAAGTGATGACGCATGGTCGCCTTAGGGTGTCCCTGCGGCGGCCGTAGTTTTTCGACATATACCAAGGCAGACGCAAGGTAACCGCAAGGTGCACTCAAGGCGGCCGAAGGGAGACCATATGGTGACCGTGCGGCCAGACTACTACTACCGCTTCACCCCTGGGGGGTGTTTCACAAAGATCCTAAGTAGAACTTAACTCTAAGTTGGACTTAAAAAATATGGAAAGCCATTAGCATCTTTGAAAATATTTGGTAAAAATATTTTTGAATGGCATAAAATGTTTTTTCAAATCATTCATATTTTCTATCATTAAGGAGATTTCATATTCTTGTTGTGGAATTTATAAAAAGTCTAAAATACTTGAATTTCTGCTTTTGAGTATATTTCATTTTAAGGCTCCAATGGCTGTCCATAATTTTTAAGTCAAACTAAGTGTTAAGTTCTACTTAGGATCTTTGTGAAACACCCCCTGGAGTATATAAAAACGCAAGGTTACCGTACGGAAGACGTACGGTCGGCGTGGAACCGCTCTACGGCATGGCTACGACGTGTCTAATCGCAACGGCAAACCTAGAAATGAAAACAAGTCCGCGTTATAATCCCACGGTGACCCGTACGGCCTGTAAAGATAGGGATACGCCCTAGGGTGACCCTGAGTCCACCGCAGATTTTCTGCGGCCGCCGTAAATATCTCTCGATTTCGGGGGCGTACGGCCGCCGTATCCTTGCCGTACAGCAAAATGTGACCTAGGCATAATTCTTCTTTATCACGTGTAAATAAAGGAACTACACGATTCTCCTGCGATCCGATTTTCGTAGAAGGGCTGTTCTATAAGATGACAATTTTATTAACTACCATCCTCCTGATTTAGCTTCTAAATAATGATAAGAATATTATTAACCGGAATTTTAGTGCTTTTAAGTCTTCCAGTCAATGGGCTTCAAATTGTAGACAATCGAACAACTGGCCTGACGTAGCTACGATTCCGAGCCGATTTAGCTTCTTCCCCTCCAAGGCAGAATGAAAGCCCTCGACATTTAGAGTTTATTCATCATGACTATTTAGATCCTCGGTTTAATAAAATTTGAAGTGGACTATTAGGCTATTATTATTATTATTATTATTATTATTATTATTATTATTATTAAGATTCTACACGTTTAAATGTTCATATAAAAGGCAATCACAAATTCTTTAAAAGTCGGATCGTAGTCAAATCGTGTAACGTCATCATAAAATAAAGAATGTCGCGGTTTACACGTCATTATTTAGCAAGGCTTAAAAAAGTGCTCACAAAATAATGCATCTAGTCAATAAGTGCCTATGTACGAGTTTATCTATAGCGGATGGGAACTGAAATTTGTAGAAGAAAACAGTTAAAAGTGGAATTCCTATGCGACCGGCCCACTCAAAACGCAAGATATTATTCGCATTTTTCGGCATAATATTTTCACCATAATTATGATACAGTATTAGGGACTTTCGCACGCCGACATAGTGGACTGCTACGTGTGACATCCTAATAAGGCAATGTGACGTCGTTTTAAGGCACTGCATGGCAGTGCCCGACAGTGGCTTAAAAGGACGTCACATTGCCTTAAAATGATGTCACATGCACATAGCAGTGCGTGCAAGACCGACATCCCACGAAACCATATAGGCATACGGATGCAACGTAACCTGTGGAATGACGTGTCTTGGTCGCAAATCATTGTCGGTGCCGACCTAGAAAGATGATATCGGCGAGGATTTTAATTTACTTGGAAGGTCCCGGCGACCACGACTTTTCATAGCGCACCAATTACTGCTTCCTGATCGGTACGCGCACTCCTTATGTATATCGGAATCCGCTAGTGATGAGGAGAAAGGTATTAAGGCTCAGTAATATGAACAGTATGATGATAATATGCCAGAGTTATAGCAAAGAGTGATGGTATCTCTTTGGTCTTACCGTTAATAGCGCTAAAAGCGCAGGCGAGGATCAGGTACATCAGCATGATGAGTTGATCTGTGAACGTCTTTCAGAAAGCTGTCCGTTGAATGAAGACTTCCCCAAAAGCTGTGATTCTTATACTTTATTCACACGGACGGGAACATCACCACTGGGGAGGGAAGGGGGCAATGCCCCTTTATATCATCATGATCAGCGCTCTCTCTCTCTCTCTCTCTCTCTCATGATCATCATTATAATCTGAAGAGCGGATATAATGCCACGTTGCTGATTTACCCGTTCCTTGAAGTCTTTTGAAAAAGATCCGACCACGCCCATTTTACGGATATCTTACTAGGAGTAAATAAACATCAATCAACCTGTCACGGTGTTACTAAATTAAGGTTTCAAATGCTGTCAGATGTATGAATCTCATGGTCCCCTGAAAGATAATGAAGAACTATTATCATTGGTACCTGCATGGGCCTGGTGGTAAGTTCGAATGATGACCTGTACAGACACGTGGCTGTCACGAGACCTATTCCTAAACGCAACGTGGTATATTTTGTTTAAGTGTCTTTATTTGAAAGAAAAACTCAACACAACACAATGTACAGGTTAAGTAGCAGATGAATACATATATATCTCAGAAAAGTATATCATACAATATATCTGCATAGTAGCAAATGATCTACAGTGTAGTACTAAATATGAATGAACAAATTAAACAAAACTATCCATAACCTTATTTTTAAAAAATGGAAAGGAATAAAAAGTACTCAATACACAGCAATACACATAACATCACAAAACACACACACACACACACACACGAAATGCCTCTAAACCAACATCATGGCCAAGGATGTAAATTCCGAATTTCATTGAAAATGTTCACTTGCCAAACTACCTTTAAATTCGTGGTAAAAGCAAAACGTTTGTGCTCTATTAACAAATTCAGTATCAAACACAGGAGCTTAAAATCCCTCTTATCTGCGGTATATCGAAAGGATTTATCTACATTAAATTTAAACAAATCTTTTAAAAAATCAGTTTAAGGGCAAATGTGGCAACAGTTTTGGTCAAAACATATCTTTTGGTCGCGTTATTTCACACCACAGGCACTTTGATCATATTTAATTTTGTATATGTATTAAATTTAAATTGTATACCCTTTTTCCTCACTGGATGTTCCCTAACATTTCAACTTCACTTGAGCTCTATTATTCGTATGCCAGATCTGCAATCATACCGTATGCTCAGTTTTTGTTTCTTATCTGATCTCACTAAGATTTCTATGACGTACATGTATGTTGAGAGCTGGGAGGGTGTCGGGTCTATTAACGCCCTTTGGTCTCTTAACAGACGATCGATACACGGTACTACCAGTCACAACTCTAAATGTAGTGCTTCTGACCTGTGTTGATTCTTTTGATTGAATTGATTCCCTTTTAATATTAATTTCATTAGAAACTGCTTAATGTTATGATATAACATTCTTTTTCACAGTCTAATTAACTTCATTTTGTTTGCAGACGGCACAAATATTTGAACTCTTTGTATCAATTGGTCAATGAGTAATTAACTAAAATAGCTCACTGGATGCAAACTTATCGATTTTAAACACTAAAACGAGTTACCCGACTTTGGAGACACGTTCCATTAAAAATTTGATAGCAAACTTTCACTTAAACGGTATCACAATGTAAAGAGGAGTAGAACAGAAGACCCAAATATGTTTTCTTTTATCAATATGTGCCTTCAAACACCTTTAGAGTTGGGCTTTTTTTTAAACGCCTGCCGAAGTTTCACCGATTTCTTGATTGGTAAATGCAAACCCCGGTAAGATACCGATTTTTGATCACGTGACTCTCCTTTTCCAGTAGTGTAAATGGCAGTCCCAAAATCGACGATTCTCAAAATGGTGATTGGGATGTGTAAAATGGGTCTAATGCTTATCATTGTGTCCTTAGGTGATTAGTCGATTGGTTCCTCATCTGGGGGGGGGGGGGGAATGCATGGAGTTGGCGCAAGTTGGTTTTGACCCAGATACCTATTAAAATTAAAATATACCCTTGTGCAGCTAACTATTAAATACCACACCGTGAAGATGGTAACAATAGAAGCGTGAATAGATATTCATATACTTACAACTCAATTTCAAAACAATTTGCAATTATAAACAGGGGCGGATCCAGCCGGCGGCAGGGGAGGGGGCCCATCTCCAAAAAAGGTAAAATTAACGTGTTTTACACTTTGTAAGCTTTGCTATTCCAAAAATAGTTTGGCAGAGATAACCCAGTTAATTTGCAGGAACGAAAGCTTGTAAATAAAATAAAACAAAGGGTCTGAATCATCGGGGATGAAGACTAGATTACAAAGTTCATGAAATGTGAAAACAGTTTAGGTTATCAATTAGATTAAACTAATAAAGTTATACATCATGAAATAAGAGATGAAATTATGAATTATTATATGCATAAGATAATAGATGCAAAACACAACATGTAATTTATTTTGATTGCCGATTGAGATGTCATGTTTGGGTAAGAGGACATATATATATATTTTGTTTTGCTCCCGAAAATTTGAAAATCGCGTCGGTCGCAAGTTCGCTCAGTGTGGGGGTGGGGGTGGGGGGGGGGGGAAGGGGGGAGGGGGAGGAGGTAGTGCGCACTATTTTTTTAAATTTTTTTTTGGCCGGGGGGAGGGCACGTGCCCCCTGTGCCCCCCCCCCCCCCTGGATCCGTCCCTGAGATGATACGCTTGTATCATATTCTGTGCGATTTCACAAGACATACATTTGTTTTGATATTATCTTGAACAAATTAGAACAATCATTGTTTAACTTCAGGCAGATAACACAAACTATAGCGTGAGTCAGAAAAAATGGACACTTTAATAATTGCATAATGTTTTGAAAGTGAGTTGTAAGTATGGATATGTACGTGAAGAGTATCCATTCACGTTTCTAGTGTAACCATATTCATGGGGTGGTATTTCATGGTTAGCTGCACAAGCATTGGGGTAAATTTTAATTTTAATAGGTTACTGGGTCAAAACCAACTTGCGCCAACTCCAGGCATTTTCCCCCCAGATGAGGAACCAATCGACTAATCACCTAAGGACACAATGATAAGCATTAGACCCATTTTACACATCCCAATCACCATTTTGAGAATCGTCGATTTTGGGACTGCCATTTACACTACTGGAAAAGGAGAGTCACGTGATCAAAAATCGGTATCTTACCGAAGTTTGCATTTACACTGCAAAAATCGGTGAAACTTTTGCAGGCGTCCAAAAAAACCTCACTCTAAAAGTGGATTTTCCGATTTCGTTTTGTCGTCGTGTTTGTCAGTAGTTGCTACGCTACGATGATACGAGATCATCGTAAGCGCCCTACGTTGTACTCGATAACTGATTTTTAAAACACCACAGTCTATTTAGGGCTTCAGTATTACACCATATGACAGACACTGATAACACGTAGGGCCATACATCTCAGATTTAACATTGCTAAACGATGCCTTTCATAGGGAACAGTGTACATGTACATGTTTTTAACTTTAACCCTATTCAAATAGGGTAAATTTTATCATTGGGATCTCCGCCAAAGAACGCCACATGCCTCGATCACTGATTTAAAACTTGGCATGCATAAAGGATATGCAGGAGAATACTCAAGGAGAGAGAGAAAAAATGGGGGGGGGGGGGATAAAAAAAAATAGAAATAGCTGTAGTCATAATAATAATAATAATAATAATAGAAATGCAATCGTGTCACAACGATGTGCGTGCAATGACGCCATGTTTCTACGTGTCAAACGAAAGAGCTTCTCTCGAACTACCCAGAGCAATTTGTACGAAGTCTGTAGCTTCTGTGACATTGGAGATAGGTAGGGCGAAAGAAAGGCCTCAACAGTGACCTTGATGGGATGGTAGTGACTACGCCTACGAAGTTTGAAAGAAATTGGGTTAGGGGCAAGAACCTAGAAAGGGCTCGCAAGCACTGCGTGCAAAAACCAATGGGAATTGGTGCATGTTCGTCGTTGCAATCAAGATCGTTCTGGGGGCCAAAAGCGTGAACCCGATATGCCCCATAGACAATGCGTGTAATGCATGGGCGGAAAACGTACCGGATCTGTATTATGACCGGAATTAAATTTTTTTTTTCTCTCTCTCTTTATGTGCTTTTAAGGGCCGTATTTGGTATCATTAGAAAGAAAATTTCATGGTTGTTATTGTAAACCACTCTTTTTTTTTCTATGACAATCCTATCGAAACACGTGATGTAAAATAGATTTATAGGACAAAATGGCGTCTTAAATGGCCCCCCTTGACCAATTTCAAAAATCCGGCCACAAATTGCCCTGCGTATTGGATTTCGGCATGTCACTGCAAATTTTCAAGGGGAAAAAAGGACGTTTAAAGGGCGAAAAGCAGGCTGAAAAAGTGACGTCATAGCCGATACGTGTTAAATTCGGGCGGAATTCGTGAAGTGACCTTTGTTCAAATGCGATTTACTCACAATTTTCTGTGTGAACATATACTATACTTGGTATCATTCGAAAGGGCACTTCATTGCGGTCAGTTTGACACCATTGTTATCTGCGCGCAATGTATTGCACGCATTGAACGCGCTATTACGTAATGCATAGTAAATTCATCATTATTTTTGGCGATAACTTTGCGCTGACATATTTGAATTTCACCAAACTTGGCAAACAGTTGTCACGTATATGGATACATAATTATGTCTGCCAAGTTTCATTGATGTAAGTATAAAGATCGCCGTTTTAGAGCAAGTTGAAGTTATTTTTGAATTTTGAAACCATTACAAAGGCCTCCAAAGGGTATGACAACCCCCCTCCTCCTCCCTCCCTCCCCCCTTCCCCCACTTAAATGGTTTAATAACTGTCTTTTTGTCATGATTTAATTCGTAGGTCAGCATAGTGATTCTTGTTCTGGACGACCTATCCATCTCATTGTTTGAGAAGCTCATCATAGGTTTTGGTGTGGCCTACGGCGTGATATGGGCCGTAATCGGATTTTTATCGGTAAGATATGTCTTTTGTCCTTAATCTTTGTCATTAATCCTGTATATAAAGACCACTCAAGTGAG